GGAAGCTGGCCTGTGGACCCATTTGTTTGGCTTGCCAGAGAACAGGGGCAAGAAGAGCTCCTTCTCACAGTTCTTCGGCCTGCCCCCGCCCCAGTGGAGCTTGGGCTGCGGAGGTGGCTGTGTCCCCAGGCAGGGTTCTGGGGGTGGCTGAGGCTGCTGGGCCTGGCCCAAGTCCCTAGACAGGCTCCATGGTCTCAGGGGCCTCCCTTTTTGTTCCTGTGATTCTTGTGGGGGCTGCTGGTTTCTATGGTGACAGCATCTCAGGACAGCTTGCTGCCAGGGCCCTGGGTGCTGGCCGAGCCCTCTAGACTGGTGGGCTTTCCCGTCCTACAGCCCCAAGAAGGCCAGGAGAGTGGGGGTAGGGGCTGGAGTTGCAGAGTCCCTGGGCCAGACTGGCCCAAGAAGGGAAAGAGCCAGGGTCTGAGCTCTGGTCCCCAGCCCAGCCCTCTTGTGGAAGGGGCCCCAGGGCTGGAATGGGGGACTCTGGTGAGAGGACTTCTGGATTCGGGCAGACAGATCTTGGCCTTCTCAGCATCTAAACTCCATGTAGATGAAACTCAGGACCTCAAAAATGCTTGGCTACCCCCTTATTCTCTGGAAAGTAGGGAAGGCACACTGTGTCTGTTGGGGTCTCAATGGGAGGCGGCCAGGGAGGGGGGAGGGAGAACAAGAGGTGCAGCGATTTTTACTACCAAACTCCTTTTTGGCAGTCGTGGAATCTGAGACCAAGAAGGGCCAGCTCCAGGTGCTAGGGTGAATCTGGGCTGTTGGTACCGGCCCCATGTGCCCTACAACTGTGCAGCTCCTTCAGTGGAACTGCCTGTGTGTTGACAGGTCTGTGGGCAAGGTAAGGGCAGTGGCTGGGGCCACCCTACAAACTCCCTGCAAGTGGTGGCTTCTGTGTAGACAGCCACTGCATGGCCATTCCAGGGCTCCTCGAGGCTGACCAGAGCAACATAGGTCTAGTCTAGTCTCCTATGCTGCTGTACCTTAGGACATGAAAGCAGAGCCAGAGCAGGCGGATGGCAGAGGCCATGTCCCCACTTCCTCTCCCCTAGCCCAGGGTCACAGTTGTAGACTGGAGAAATGGGCTTGCTCCTTACATGCAACATGATTCTGGGCTGGCTTTCTGTCTGTTAGAGTCTCCATCTCCCTTTAAAGGGCAGGGCTCCTTTTCCCTTAGGGAAGCTCTGTTGTTGTGAGCTGGACCCCTGGAGCAGCCATAGCCGTAGGATGTTCCTGTGCTAGAGTGAGCAGAGTGTTTAGGTGTGGGGGCTTCAAAGATAGAACTGACCATGACAGTTGCCTGGGATAGGGAAAATGAGGCCACCCTGAGGGGGAGGGGGGCAGATGGACTGCCCCAGTTCAGCTTTGTGTGGCAGGCATTGACAGATGCCCTAGGACTTCTAGTATCAGCTTAGGTCACAAAACAGTATCTCTGCAGGGTGTCATTTTAGAGTTCCCTGTCTCTGTGGTCCAGATAAGGCAGTAGAAGATGAGTTCAGAGCCAGGTGGCACCTCCTGGGGCCTTTTCCCTCATAGTGTGATGGGATAGGATCAGACCTGCCCAACTGCAGGACTCCCCCAAGACAGCCTGTGTTGGTTCAGTGTGGGGCTTGAGCAGGGGCTGGGGAGTGGGGGACCACTGTGGGTGTGGCTTCTGCTTACCTCCTCCCAGAACCACTCTTGGTTGTTCTCTCCTCCCCACCTGACCCATACTGGCTGCCCTAAGATTGAGACCCCACTTAAGATGCTGAGGGGAAAGAGGCCTGAACTTCAGAGAGTGCTCCTATCAAGGTGCTCCTGGTCTCTAGCTGGCTTGCTTGGCCCCTGCTGACATTTGAGTGCACAGGGCTGGGGGCTTAGGCAGGCCCTAAGCCTGAGCCATGTGCTCATATGGCAGAGTAAACATACCAGGAGGCAAGGAGGCTGGGGGGGTTGGGGGGAGGCAGAAGCAGCCAGCAGCCTCCTTCCCCAAAGATAGCATCTAGAAGGAGTATGTAAAGAAGAGCTTGGAGTGAGGTTCTGAGAGGTACACTAGCCTAGCTTGGGGTAAGAGGTGATAACCATCCCATTTAGGTGAGAAAGGCATAGAGATACTAGATATATGGGGATGTGAGAGAGGCATGGGGCCAGGACAGGAGAGACAAGGTGTGGGGGGCAGTTAGCTTCATAGCAACAGAAGGAAAGACAGGAAGGACAGGACAGAGACCAGCAATGGAGACTTGGGGTCCTGGCAGGAACAAGTAAAGGACAGCTGCAGAGAGGTGATCAGGGCTGAGTTAAATGGCTGCAGAACAGTTAGGTGGTCCTCTCCCTGGCCGACAGGGCTGGACCAGTTAGTTAGAAGCATAGGCAGAGACATTGTACCTGAGACACCGTGTCTCAGGGGACTCTCGTCTAAAGGGCCTGAGGTAGAGGTAGGAAGAGTGTGTGGCACCCAAAGCTGGGGTTGCAAACTGGTCAGGGCATGCTATGGGGGAGACAGACCTGAGAGCTGGCCATGAGCCAGGATGTGGGCGCAGATGCTGCTGGGATGCGGCTGTGGGAGGTGAGTAACTGCTCTGAGTCACACCTATGAGTGGGAGGCAGCACCTGCCTGAGCTTTGTGGATGGACTAGGCGGTGTGTTTATGGTGCCCGGCACAACCTGGCCATAGTAAACAGAGTGTGCGGCTAGCTGTTGATGTCGCTGCTTCTGGGGCATGCCTCACACTTAGCTGGTAGTGGACCAGGCCACAGTCCTGTGTGTAAGTGACCAGGATTGGCATCAGCATATGACCTAGCTCAGGGCTCAGTGTGTCACCAGGATCAGGGCTCAGCATGTGACCAGGATGACGGCAGGTGTGTGAGTAGGGTCAGGGCCCAGGTGCGGCAGGGTTAGGTATCAATCAGAGTGTTACACACAGAGTATGAGTAGGGTCAGGGTTCACAGCATAGCCAGGATCAGGGGCCAGTGTGTGAGCAGGGTCAGGGTTCAGAGTACTGCCTAGCCAGGATCAGGGATCTGAGTGACTAGGATTTCGGCTCAGCCTATAACAAGGACCAAGGCTCAATGTTTAGTTGGTGTCAGTACTCAGAATGTGCCCTAGGTTAGGAAGCAGAGTTAGGAATATGGGTGGGATCAAGACTTAGTATGTGTGAGTGGTGAGTTTAGATTTTGGTCTCCCAGGTGGGGTTTGTTTGTGAGTACTTGGGAGCTGTAGATAACAGCAGAGCAGAGCAGGGCAGAGCAGGAGGAAGCCAACTTTGCTTCTTTAGGAGGTACATAGACCACATGGAGACTCAGAGTCCAGAATTCATGGGGTGCAAATTGGCAGCGATTGTGTAAAGTGCAAGCAAGGCAGGCCTTTGGTGAGGTGGGCAACCATTATCCAGAGTGCTCAAGGGAAAGTAACAAGCAGAGAAGCAGAGGCTGGTTCAGATGGAATGTTCTGAGGGTTTCTAGACGGTGACTTCTTAGCTAGGAGAAGAGCCAATCTCATGAAGGTCAGAGGGACAGTGATGGGTGATGGGAACAGTCCATGCAAAAGCCCTGGGGCATGCTGAACCTGGCGTTGGAGCTACTCTCCCACAGTGGGCCAGCTTGGCCCTGTCTCCTCTCTAGGATTTTGGGGCCTATTTCTTGTCCTTGGGGTCTCCAGTCTGACCCTCCTAATAAGACCTGGCATTTTGATGTTCCCCGTCCCCATAGCGTTCAGAGCTGAGGCTTTCATGAGTGATCCTGAGCCAACTGGGAGGAGCAAGCGGGCTAGGGGTATCTGGCAGCTGCCAGACCTAATGAGGGCAGCAAAGGCAGATGGCCATAGAGGTCGAAAGTGGAGTCAGCCATGGGGTGAGTGTGAGCCACTTGCTCAGTTGGCTGTGACCTTCCCAGAGCTCTGGAATATTTGCCAGCCACTCCCCACACCTGTCCCTGTCACCTGGCTCCCTCTGTTTGGACCCAAGTTCTCCATTGGTAAAGCTAAGTATGAGAGGACTGTGGTCCTTGAGGGCTCCCATCTGGAAGATGATGCCCAGCAGTACACTGTAGAGGATGTAGTGCTGCACACACTTCCCCTTCACAGTTGTGGCTAGAGACACACAGCTGGTCTCCCAGGTCTCCTGCAAGGCCCAGAGGCCTAGGTAATTAGAGTGCCTGCTACTTCATACAACAGGAGTTGAGCCTATTTCCAGAGTAGGCTTGGCTGGAACATAGGTGTCCAGCAAGTACAAAGAGCAGACTTGGTGTTGGGGCCAGGGCAACTCATGGTAGGCAGCACAAGTTTACCTGCTTGTGCCAGGGGTATGTGTATCTGTATACATAGCTGGTAGGTGAGTGTCTGTGGATGTGCTGAGCCTGTGGCCTATGTCACCCTTTGAGTAGAGCCTAATTAGGCCACCTCAGTCCTCTTTTCATTTTGGAAGAGGGAAAGGAAGGTGACAGAAGGAGATGGGGGTGGTGTAGAGGTTCCTCTAGTGCCCCATGACCTAGGGCCTGGGGCAATGCATGGCTTACGGTGTGAGCCATAGGCTGTGCCGTCATTTGCAGTGAAAATTCCCATGTGGGAGCAGGGCCAGCCTGCTGTGTCTGGGTTGTGCTGAGCATATGGTAGAGAATGGTGGGATCTATGGGCCCTGCCCCTGCAAAGGGATGGGCAAGATCAGAATGGCCAAGGCCCCAGTCTTGTGGAGGTGGGAAGTGAGTTTTGGGAAGAGGGGGGTCACAGGTGCAAAGACCATGAGGTAGAAACAGGGCATTCCAGTGGCCTTTGAAGTGGACTTGGGGTACTGTGCAAGGCAGCAGGGAGGGGACAACCAAGATATGGAGGCGAATCAAGATATTTGCAAGAGCAGAGGGGAAGGAAGAAAGAGGAGCTGTGGGAAGAATGTTGGGGTGGACGGCCATGGAGTTGGGGGTGTTGGCTGGCTGCCCAGTTAGATATAGTGGGAGCTGGGGGTGGACACCATCCTGGGGCCCTGGAAGTGTAGAGTCACAGCCTGAGAGCTAACTGTGAGGCCAGGGCTACATCTGTTCCCCACCCCACCCAACCTGTGATGTGGTGTGAGCCCTCCTTGAACCGAGGGGCTGTGACATGAAGAGGTGAGGGCTATTGTCAGGTGTGGCCAGTGACTGTCGTTACATTGGGGAGGGTTTGTCCTCAGCAGGGGACAAGAGCTGCTCTTAGGGACAGCCCAGCAGAGAAAGTCAGAGAACTGGGGTGGGAGGGCATAAGATCTGGGACTACATGGGCCTTGGCCAGACCTGTTCACCAGTCATGGGTCCTGTCTCACTCCTTGTCTCCCTTGCTCCCCAGAACATGGATAAGGCAACAGTACCATCCGTGACGCTCATCGTGGGCTGCGGCGTGTCCTCCCTCACCCTGCTCATGCTGGTCATCATCTATGTGTCTGTATGGAGGTGAGTGCCTGCTCCAGAGCCTGGAGATCTAGCCCTCCCTTTCTCCCTTGTGCCACCTACTCTGGGTAATGCTGCCAGCTTTGTCTCCTCCTGCTTGCATTTCCATTCCAGGGTCCTGATTGCTGTGTCACTCAGGGGCCACAGAGGAAGGATGGGGGTGGTGGTGGGGTGTTGAACATACAGGTCATCATTCCTACTATCACCTGAATACACTTCTTGACAGGCCCCAGCTAGGCACATAGAACATAATTCTTTGGTTACTTGGAGTCCTGTGGCTACCTACTATCCCTGTGTACCCTGTATACCTGGACCGACAAACTCCCTGGGGTCAGAAATAGCTTCCTGCACTGGACTCCCAAGACTACAAGGATCAGCAAGTACCCCCCCATTTCCCACCTCCGGCCCTATTTGCCCATGTGTAGGCTGTGGGGTGGCACAGCCTGGTTAAATCCCAGGCTAAGCCATTAGGAGCCCACTCAGGTCACAGGTGTGTCTTGGCAATGCCCCCACTAGTAGGTATATGTAACCATGGGCATGTGCCAGGGGGTGGCCTTCTCCTTGCTCACCAGGAATCCCCACCCAGTAGTCTGAAGTGAGGTCCATTCAAGGTCATTGTACACAGAGCTGTTCTAGGGCTACTCATGTGACGGCTGGCCCCTGCAACAGGCTATTCCAGTTTTCTACCCTGTGTGATGGTAGCCAATAATCAAAACTGATGTGCCAGTCACTGCCTGCAGTCAGGCAGCAAGAGATCAATGTGACTAGTGGGAGAGGGGCAGTCTGTGCAGCCTGGAGCATCAGCTGCCCTCTTTGATCTTCCCAAAGACAGAACATCCAGAATGCTTCCCACAGGACTCCCTCTCACCAGCCCTTCAGGACCTCACAGCATCTAGAGCTCAGAGCTCAGAGCTGAATTCAACTCTGGCCTGGAGAGGAAGTGTTGAAAGCACCTTGCCTATTGAACACTGATGGCATCACTGTGCCCTGTGAGCTGCAGACAGGGACTATTCCGATGGCCAGTTAGGGAGTGGGGACCAGATGAAATAAGGTCTGTGCCTACCTGCCTCAGACTTAGCTGAGGCCCTCTGATCTCTACCTGGGTGGGTCTCATTCCCAATGGCTGGTGGTGGTTCATGGCGTTGATGACTAGTGATGACGATTGCCGTGATGGTGGCCATGGTTGTGGGTTGTGGTGATAATATGGTGATGGTGGTAGTGATGACAGTGATGGTGATGAAGGTGGTGGTGTTTGAGGTGGCAGTGGTTGTAATGGCGGTGGTAGTGATGGGGACAGTGATGATAATGGTGGTGATGGTGATGATGATCATGATGGAAGCAGTAGCTTCAGGGAGGAAATGGAACATTCGTTCTTGGGCAGGCCACATGACCGTGATCCCTGATAGGTGCTGACCTCGGGCCCTGACCCCTCTCACAGGTACATTCGCTCAGAGCGGTCCGTCATCCTCATCAACTTCTGCCTGTCCATCATCTCTTCTAATGCTCTCATCCTCATCGGGCAGACCCAGACTCGCAACAAGGTAGGCAGCCTCTTGTCCTGCTCTGCATAGCCTTGTGTTTTCACACCCTGGCCATCTTTGAGCTGGGAAGATCAGTGTGGGAGCCCTTTGTTTACCTTCGTTAGGACCCCTCCCTTGCTCCCACCCTATGATCTCCATACCCTGTCCTGCCAAATGTGACCCAGAGGTAGGCTTTGGGAGGGGTCTTCAGTCACCCTAATGTGTTGGAAACAGAGAGAAGACCTAGCCCCAAATACTGCTGTGTGCCATGGCGGAAACTCATAGTCACAGTGGGCTTACCTGGGATTTGATGAGGGTCTGAGGGTGTGACTCCCCCTGGCCCCAGGCCTCAGTTTTATCCCTGATGAGGGCTCAGTCTGACTGGAGCTTCTCAGTGGGTTCCTGACCCCAGTTTTCTGGCAGCTGTGGGGAGGAGGATGAGCACCTATGCCAGCCTTAGTCTTCAGTGGTCCATCTCAGGGTGGGGACAGGTTGCTTCCCACCCAGGAACCTGGCTGGTCTCAAAGTCATTGGGTTCTGAGTTTCTCCCAGTTGTTGCCACATGTACATAGGGGATGGGTGAGAGCCAGTGAGCACTTGCCCAGTCCCCTTGGCCCCTGCCCAGGTTGTGTGCACACTGGTGGCTGCCTTCCTGCACTTCTTCTTCCTGTCCTCCTTCTGCTGGGTGCTCACTGAGGCCTGGCAGTCCTACATGGCTGTGACTGGCCGCCTACGGAGCCGGCTCGTCCGCAAGCGCTTTCTCTGCCTGGGCTGGGGTGAGCAGGGCAGCTGGGGTTGGGAGGTGAGGGTGGACTGTGGCTAGGGCTGTTGAGGTATAGATCAGGGAGAGAGGGTGGGCAGTGTGCTGGGGTTAGTAGCCAGGAGTGAGGGCAGGCAGCTGGGGAGAAGGTGGGCAGTGGGCTGGAGTAAGCAAAGTTTCAGGGGGTGGGCAGCCTGAGTAGGATGATGGGCTATCTCTGTCCTTGGCATTCTTGTCCTGGCCCTCTGCTTATCCCTACCACTCCTAGAGTCTCCATTGCCACCCTGGCTTCTCCCTTTGGGCCTCCAATCTTTTATAGGTTAGTAGCCAGGAGTGAGGGCAGGCAGCTGGGGAGAGGGTGGGCAGTGGGCTGGAGTAAGCAAAGTTTCAGGGGGTGGGCAGCCTGAGTAGGATGATGGGCTATCTCTGTCCTTGGCATTCTTGTCCTGGCCCTCTGCTTATCCCTACCACTCCTAGAGTCTCCATTGCCACCCTGGCTTCTCCCTTTGGGCCTCCAATCTTTTATAAGATTGCCAGAAAATGCAGCCCAACCAGGCCCATTAGCATCCAGAGGACAAATAATAGTATCCTGTATCTTTCACAGGACTTGGCACACATGCTCTAAAAGCGATGCCCTCTTTCTATGAGATTGAGTGGTAACAGGCAATGTCTTACCCTCTGATCTGCAGTCCTGCAGCATTCTGTTAGCTCTCATCATCCTACCCCTGTCCACCTCTTCTCTGTAGTGACGCCCTCATTTGGGGCTTCCCTCATGCAGCTTGGACTGTGGCCCATGTGGGCAGGGTATGGCAGGACTGACCACTTTTCTTCTGGTCCTTTTCTAGGGCTCCCTGCACTGGTGGTGGCCATTTCTGTGGGATTTACCAAGGCCAAGGGGTACAGCACCATGAACTAGTGAGTTGGGCAGGTGGGGGATGGAATAACCTTCTGCAGACCTGGAAGATGCCCCACCCTGCTGGCATTTGGACCAGACAGGCTCAGGAGGGTGGGCCCTTAGACAGCTCCCTCACTTCTAGGCAGTCAGGTCCTGTGGGCAAAGAGATGAGAAGAATGCTTGGGCCCCTTGCTTCCTCCTTGGGTGATCTTGATGGCCATGAGCCCCTGGAGTCCTCAACCCTATGTGTACAGGTGTTGAGGAGAACCCCAGAGGACAGCAGATACACCCTTCCTGTGGGGCATTATAGGGGGAGAGTGAATTTCACAGATGAAGTCCTGGAGCCACAGCAGCTGATCTAAAGCAGTGTGGCCTCCATGGGCAAAGACAGGACCCCAGGCTTAGGATGGATCTAGAAAGGGGAACAGAGACCTGAGGGGTTAGCTGGCTTGCACTAGTCAGGATCTAGTTGGGGATGGTGGCTAAAACCAGCAGAGCGTGGAGGTCAGAGCAAACCTAAATTACTCTGGAGCCACAAAGGGGTAGATGGTAGGGCTCTGGAGCCCCTGTATCAGAACCATGTTGGAGACACTGATGGCGGATTCTGAAGAATGAAAATGAGTGTGTTGAGCATCACTGGCTATGCCCAGGCAAGAGCTGGGGGCAAGCCTGCAGCATGTTGAATATCCTCTGTGGCAGTGGTTCTCACGCTGTGGGTCATGACCCCCAACAGGGGTTGCATATCAAATATCCTGCATATCAGATATTTACATTTTGATTCGTAACAGCAAAATTACAGTTACAAAGTAGCAACAAAAATAATTCTTTGGTTAGGGTTACCACGACATAATGAACTGTATTTAAAGGGCCATAGCATTAGGAAGGTTGAGAACCACTGCTCCATGGGTTTGATCTCCTATGGATACTATGGATGGTGCCAAGGAGCTGATGGGTGGTATGGGCTGTGGAGAGCTAGGCAAGTAAGCATAGGACTATTGACCTAGGCCAGGAATCTCATGTCAAGGAGGGTCTGCTAGATATGCTGAGAAAGATCCAGAAAGGGCCCCACCCACAGAAGGCAGAGGGGAGCCCCAGGGCTTCTGAGAAGGCATGCCCTATTCCCTGAACTGGGTCATGCCCCCATTTGTAAGTGGAGGTAACAGTGGCTGCATGGGGACTCCTGGGGATCCAACCCAAAATATATGTGCAAGTTTCCCTATTTCTTTCAGGGCCCCCAGTTAATATACTGCTTCCTGACACACTGGTTGCCAAATGGGCATGGGGCTGGGTACTGACAGCTTGTCTCTTCCCCAGCTGCTGGCTCTCCCTGGAGGGGGGACTTCTGTATGCCTTCGTGGGACCAGCTGCTGCAGTTGTGCTGGTACTGACCCAGCCCCTCCCCTCCCCTATCTCCCAGGCTGGACCCCCGGTCTTTATCTGCCCCTTGACTGGCCTGTGGGGGGTCTGGTCACCAGCTCCATTCACTCCATTCCAGTAGCTCAGTGTGGTACACTGGTGTCTTCTTATCTGTATAAGCATGGCTTGCCTAGATATTGGGCATTGACTATTATGTACCTGCCAAGAGGCCCCTGCAGGTTTGGTGAGTAACAGGGATGTAGAGACAGATGGACAGATGGATAGCTGTAGCTGCAGGGATTGAGCAGACATGACCCAGGTCATGCAGGTCCACCATAGCTGTCAGCACCCAGAGTGAGCTACGGCTGCTTGTTTCCTGGTGTCAGAGGGACCTTGCTTTTTCCTGGCTCTTCAGTTGACATGCCCATTTGGAGAAGAGTCCAAAACTACAGCTGGGGACTGGCCCAGAGCCAGGAATGGCTTGGCATGGGAGAGAGCATGGGAGTAGATGCTCTCTCTCTAGTTCTTGTCTCCCTGTCTCACCCTCTGTCGGGGAGGGGTAGTCAGGGAGCTTGGCTCAAGTCAGTCTACCAGACAGGTGACACAGGAATAGTTGACCCTGCAGAGTGCGAGTAGTGGGTCTGGGGAGGGTATGTAAGTGGGTAGAGACCGTTGGATGGCTGCCAGAATTCCTGCTCCTTGCGCCTCAAAGGCACCCATTGGAAGGCCAGGTGGGCATCACTGGCTTTGAAGGGTAGCTGCCAACCAGCAGGCTCCAGGGTTTGCATGAGGGCTGTTGAGGAAAAAGCTCTTACCCCTACTTGTCCACATGTATCACAAGGACCCTGTGACCACCAAGCAAAGCCTGTTGTAGGAGGGTAGCTTGGCCTGCAAGGACACCTATGACCCAGCTGTGTGGTCAGCAAGCTAGGAGGCAGGGCTACCCCAGGAGACAGGGCCCTGTATATGGAATCCTGACTGTGCAGAGTCATGGAAACTGTCAGCCCTGGGCCTCTGGGCACGATCTCAGGCACAAGAGTTCAGAGTAACTCACTACCTTGACCTTTGCCCTTTAGGGCTTTTAGGGCCTTGGGGTCCTGGGTGCCTTTCTATTTAAAAAAAAAAAGAAGAAGAAGAAGAATTCCCGAAGGATCCTCAGGGGTTTTCTTGAAGTGGGAATGAAAAGTAAGATTTTAGCAAGGCCTTGTCCCTTGTGCCACATCCTGGCCAGGGTTCCCAAGACACAGAGGCTCTGACAGTGGAATGATTCTTACCTTGTCTAGTAATTTGGTTAGCAGCTTAGAGATGCACCTGAGGCCCTAAGAAGCCCTCTGGAGGCACCCAGTGAAATTGTTAGTGAGGGTTAGTGGGATTGGAGGAGATCAGGGACATGGGGCACCCAAGATCATCCAGTAAAGCCACCTTGGCCCTAGTCTAGGAACTCACCATCATCAGATGCCAGGGGAGAGGTGTTGGTGGTGTGGGGTACATTGAGGACAGGGCTCTGGATGGATCCACCTGGCCAGCACTGGGCTCTGAATTCTGGGGGCAAATGAGGACTGTGGACATTCTGGGCATGGCCGTTGCTGATCTGGGCACCCATGGGCTCTGGCCCACTCCTGCCTCTGCCCGGCAGGTGAACATGGTGATCGGGATCCTGGTGTTCAACAAGCTCGTGTCCAAGGACGGCATCACGGACAAGAAGCTGAAGGAGCGGGCAGGGTAGGCCCTGTGGCCCTGGCACTTTGCCCTTCTTAGCTGGAAAGACCCAGAGCCCATCCACCATAAGTCCCAAGTCCAGTCTGACAATTCAGGTGTCCTGGAGCAGGTTGGGAAACTGGGGCACAGAATACAAAGGCTTTTTTTTAGCCAGTCCATCTCTATCTTGCTCTGTGCCTCAGTTTCTTTACCTAACCTGTAACAAGGTAGGACCCTGTAGCATCTCCAGAACATTTTCCAAGCTCATTTCTCAAAGAGAGCCCCCCTGCTGGGCTCAGGCTGGTGGAAGGACACCACAGGCCCAACGCTAGGAGTGCTCTCCCTGTTCCTTGAATCCCATAAGAGGCCTTGCCTGTCTGGTGCCTTCATCACTGGAGGACAGCTAGGGATGGGGGTGGGGTGGGGGGAGACACAATGCTCCTCCCACACTACTCAGCTGTGAGTTGTCCTGGGAGTGAGGGATGACATCGGGGTCACTGCTGCCTCAGCTTAGGGACATACAGGGTCACAGGAAATTGGGGTAGTAGTCTTGCCCTGCCCAGAGTTCTCCCTGTCCCACCTTCTACATCCCACAGCTAGTGTGCTGGTGTCTTTGTGGGGGTCCCACCCCTGCCCCTCCCCTCTGTGCCTGTCTTGCTTGGTGTCTTTCTCTGTCTCTCACTGTCTCTTTTTCTGGTTCCTCCTTCTCTGCCCAGTGACTTCCTGGGTGCCTGGTGGGCTCTGGCCCTGGATAGAGCCTTTGAGTGGGCTAAAATAGCTCTGTCACTGTGCTGGTTGCTCTGTGACGGAGAGTTTGGGCCTGAGCTTCTAGCGTCAGCCTTGCTGTCTACCCCAGAACAGTGGGCCCACATCAGAGTCTGAGCCCCACACACGTGGGTTGAGCTGTGGCTGAGTTGTAGGTGTGGAGGTCTCCTTGAATTCTCCAGCACTGGCCTGCTTGATTTGCTCTTAGAATAGCCACCAGGAAGCTACCAAGTCTTTATCCTCTTTTATCAGAGTAAACAGAGGCTTAGGGAATAGGGAAAGCTGGGGGAGCTGGAATTAGACCCCAATTACGGGTGTCCTGGGCCAACACCTAGATGGGAAGGCACCCACCTGCTGTGCGTGCATGCACACCACACACACACACACACACACACACACACACACAGAGAGAGAGAGAGAGAGAGAGAGAGAGAGAGAGAGAGAGAGAGAGAGAGAGAAAGAGAGAGACAGGGCTGCCATACAGCTCAGCCTATTTCTGCTCTCCTTGTGAGACCTGCAGGTGGGCCCTCCTCCATGACCCAACCTATGTGATGACATCTGGCATGCCTATGTGGGAGGAGAAGGGTATCAAGGCCTCCTTCAGATCTTGCTGCTGTCTACACGTAGAGACTGAGGCATGCTGTCAGTCAGCACATGCTGGCAGCCTGCAGTCCTGCCCATCTCACTCCCTACCCTAGGCTTGGGTCCCTCAGATGACAGAGCCTCAGGCTGCTCCTCTCTGCTCCTCACCTCGAGGTTTCGAGGGAACCTGTTTGCTTTTGTTTCAGCCTTTGATTTCACTTGCAGTCAGCTGCGCGTGCCCCCCCTCGGGCGTGCCCTCACGTGTGCCGAGTGCGGAGTCTTCTCTGCTGCCGAAGCCACCTCCGACGCCACCAGTAATGCCATGTTAGTGCCTTGCTGCCACCTTGGAGCAGCCCTGTATAGGCTCTGATCTCTCCTGAGTCACATGTTTGTTTTATGTTTTTCTTTCATTTCTTTCATTTCTGCCGTCCCCTCTGGATTTCCAAGGCAGCCCTGCCCTCTACCTGCAAGCTCGGCTCCCCCCACTCAAGGCCTGCTTGCTTGCAGCATATAAGACACTTGGGAGGCAAGGAGTGGGCCAGCGAAGGTATTAGAATGGGACTGAATCCAAGGACAGTTGGAGTGGGCCTGCACTGCTTCCTGCTGCTCCCTGAGCCCCCCCCCCAACAATGCTGGCCCAGAGCCTGGCTTCAGCTCCCACCTCCACAAGACAAGTGGATAGGGGACAGAATCATGTGAGTGTGTGCATATGAGTGTTTGGTGGGGGTTGGGGGCTAGGGAGCAGATAATGAACCTGTGCCCATTGTTCACATGTGAGTAGCTGGATATGTATACAGTATATATGCCAGTGTGCATAGTGATGGTGCCTATGTGTGGGAGTGGGTATGCTCACAGAGTGCAAGGGTGCATAGAGATTCCCATATGTGAGAGTAGCTGGGTGTGTGGACAGTGTACCCATGTGTAAGGGTGACTAGTATGTGCAGACATGGGAAAAAAGTGTGCAAGTGTGAACGTGCAAGCAAGTGAATGGTGAATAAGTGTGAATATGTGTGTGGGGGGGTTGTACCTGTAAGTGTATAACCGTAAGTTTAAGTATGTAACTACGTATGGACAAAGAGATATAGATGCAGGTATAACCGAGATGTGCTGTCCCCTTTGGGAATATGTGTTGTGGGTCCGTGTGGATATGAAGATACAGCCATGGGAACAAGACACCAAGAACAAGGGATGGTGATCCACTGACTTGGCTGTGACAACATCACTGTGTTTCGGGTGGGTGGAGTTTAGCATAGAAGGCCATCTCGTCCAGGCCCCTGCCTCCTTCAGGTCATAGCAATGACAGAGACCCCAAGCACTAACCCTCTCAGATCCTGGTGTGTACTGGAGCCCAGAATTCTTGGTGTGTCAGGCAGGTATGAGGGCTAGATTAGGCTGGATGGTTAGAGGATGTGCAGGGTAGAGCACCCGGCCAAGTCGAGGAGCCTCTTCCCACAGTGGGCCCCCTATTGTTGTGAGCCCCACTGGCCACCTTGGAATCAGCAGGGTTTCTGGGTGGGGTCCAGCCTGAGCTAAGCACCTGAGTCCTGGGATCCTGAAAGTCAGGTAGCAGCTAGTAGTTGTGGTGACATCCAGGCCTCACTGGGGCTCTTCTGGTGCTCTGGGGTATCTGAGTTCTTAGGGAGCTTGTGACTCCTCTCCCTCTGGGTTCCTGGGGAAGTGATTTGAAAACTGGTGGTCAGAGGAGATGGAGAAATGGCAAGGCTGATCTTGTGGGAAGTCAAGGGGTCTCTGCTGATGGGGTGCTCTGTTCCTATACCAGATGCAGGTGACATGAGGTATCAGGGGTCCTAGCTCAAAGAATGTCTGCTCTGAAGGGGAGGGAGGTGTTATGGGCTCAGTGCTATGGTGGGAACAAGTCTAGAGCTGAGAATGGCCCTGCCGATGACTGGAAGTCATTTACTAGAAGGCCAGCCTGCCATTTTTCTGTTTCAGCTTCAGGGACAGATGGAGGGGAGTAGAGGGATACTTTTGGCTTCTGCAGCTGTAGGGGAGGGAGGTGGAGTAGCTGGCACTATGTGAGGAGGCCTCACAACATCCTCAACTCCAGAAGTATAGGTAGGGTCAGCAGGGACCCAGGAGTTGGGGCTTTGTGCCTCACGTGGGGTTCCCTCTAAGAAGGAGGTGATAAATTGTATAGTTGACTGGAAATAGGGTCCGTATGAGGGACAGCTTAGGAGCCCACACTTCAGGGCATCAGCATGAACTGGGGAAGGTGAACTGACAGAGATCTGGGTAGGGCTGAGAGTGGCAGTTCTGAGTGCCCTGGCTACAGGTGGCTACTCTGTTCACCAAGTGATGACAGCTGTGGCTAGGGGCAGGAAGCTCCCCAGGGTCAGCATTACATAGATTCATAAAGGCACAAAGGTATTCCTGGAAGAGATCATGGTAAAGGGCCAGCTCTGTGGCCTCAGAGGCCAGGGAGGTAAGGATAACAGACCCCACATAGGAACCCTACCAGGACTGTACTCTGGTCTGTTGGGAGTTTGGGGAAATCCTCTGAACTCTCCCACAATCTCTGCTACCCTAGATCCCACTGTGTTCAGTCCTCTTCTCCCATCTACTGCCTTGGGGGAACAGTATGACCCCCAAGAGAGGAGGAACAAGTGATCCTGATGTCCACCTGATTCCTGGAAATGACAAGGGCTACAGACAGGCCACAGTGGCTCCTGGGTATCACAGTGGTGCTGAGGTTGGGGTCAAGGTGCAGTTCTCAAGCACTCCCATGTCCCATGGCCTCAAGGCAGCACTGTGTCACCACCTGAGCATGGGGGAAAGCTCAGTGGTTGACATACAGGCCAGGTACTGATGGAGAGGACGGTAGGCTCAGGCTGCCAGGTCTCTGTGCCAGCCAGGTGCTCCAAGAAGAGACTGAGGGCTGAAGGCAGGGGTGGCTCAGGTCAGGGGCACAGGAGGGCATTGAGATGCAGGAGGGTAGCTACAGCCCCAGAAGAGGAAGAACGCCCTTCGTGTCTGTTCTGTCTGTATTGGTCTCTTCTCTGACCCTTTGGCCTTGTCCAACTGTCCATTGTCTGTCCTGTCTCTCCCTCACAATTTCTCTCTCCTTCTCTCAGTATCTCCCAAGACTCCTGTCTCCCTCAGCCATCTTGTATTGCAGTTGGGGCCCTGGGGCTCTAGATCCAGGGCCCAGGGCCTGGAAGATGGAATCAGGGGCTACCTTGCTCCATGCATCTCTCCTGTCCCTATGCCCTTACTGTCTGTCTCCCTTCTGTCACCTCCTGGCCAGGGTCCAAGTTCTCTCCCAAAGAGCTCCTCTACCGGGTCCCTTGCAAGCCCTCAGGCCTGGGGATGGGGGAAAAGGGTGTCCTTAGGAGAGGTGGAGCACCCATGGGGCCGCTCTGACACCCTCCATCCCCAGGGCCTCCCTGTGGAGCTCCTGCGTGGTGCTGCCGTTGCTGGCTCTGACCTGGATGTCTGCTGTGCTTGCTGTCACCGACCGCCGCTCCGCCCTCTTCCAGATCCTCTTCGCTGTCTTTGACTCACTGGAGGGCTTCGTTATCGTGATGGTGCACTGCATTCTGCGCAGAGAGGTGGGCGCCCTGGGCCGGGGATCCACTGTGTCCCCTCGAGGTGGGCTTGTGCCCAGCATGTAGTCAGGGTTGTGGGGAATGGCCCCCTTTTGGAGGATATCTTATTTTCAAATCCTTGAATCCTTTCAAGTCCTTATCAACTATGGGGGGTCTGTTACTGGCAGCACAGAGTAGGAGAGCCAGTACTAGATGCCTGTGGCATTCTGAACCTTTCAGAAGGTGAGAGAACATGAGGGTCTATCCAGCTATGTTCTGATGGCCATCAGCAGGAGACAGTAATGACACTGAGTCGTTGTCCTGATCTTGGGGGGCTGCACTGTGGACGGAAATGTATCTTACCTCAACAGACCAACCTCTGCTCCAGATGGAATCAGGACATGGCTGGGGCTCAGAGAGACCTGCTGCCTCCCATTTGCCTTAGAACCTCCTAGAATGCTGCTAAGGGATTTGAACTGCAGCAGGTACAAGAGGACAAAAATCGAATGTAGCTGCAGGAACCAGGGACCTCAGTGGACAGAAAGGACTGGCTGGCAGGACAGGGAAGAGGTCAGATGCCACTAGCCCTCTAGGGAGGTTCCGGAGGAGCACCCTGGGAAAGAGTGCTCCCCACAAAGCCTGTGCCCTCCTTCCACCTCCCTTTGCTGGTCATGTGTCACTTAGATGTGGGAAGCCACCAAGCACCACGGCAGCTCACAGAAAGAAAGTGACTGGGTCCCTGTGCCCTGGTCACCTAAGCACTGCATCCACAATTCTTGGAAGCCCCCCCCACACACACACACACCAGGTGCTGTGACTTGTAGCCCACAGGCAGGTGAAGTCTAGCCGCATGTTGTACTCTGAAGTCACACTCTTGCCTTCTGCTCCTCCCTCAGTGTTCTGGCGCCTGCAAGACCAGCTAACTGAAAGTAGGCACTTCGGGAAGGTAACAGGACAACTGTCAGCAGAATAGCAGGGCATCCCACTAAGATCTGGCCCAAGAGTGGCATCTGCACAAAACCTTGTGGTCAGGAAATTAAGATGTGAACAACAGCCAAAAGGCTCAAAACTCGCTGTTGGGTAGGATAAGCACATGGAGCCAGCTTCAGCCCTTGTATATGGTTCCTGCTGCAGGTCTCAGCACCTCACAGCTATCTCCAGAGTCTGGATTTTGGGATAATGTTTGACCCTGTGTCTGCCCTCAAGCTGATTACCCTGGGTGATTAGCCACTTTCTTAGGTGGCTCTTCTCGCCAAGATCTCTGCTGGCCTTGTGGCTGGCCTTAGCCTTGTCCATATAACCTGCCTTGAGGAGCAGGCTTATCATCTATAGTCAGGATGGGTTTTGGGGGTGCTGAATGGCCCTGAAGCCAGGTACCTGCCTTAGGCTAATGTTCTTACAGTGACCTCCAGCCAGTGGAATCTGCAGCTCCTTCCCAGCATCAGAAACTCAAAATGTTTGCATCTTACATCCTTTCTCCTAGCACAAGGGGCACTACCTTCTTACAGAGAGTGCTTTTGCAGAGGGTGCTATGTGGGGCTGTGGCTCTCTGCTGACATGCTTTCTCTCCTCCAGGTCCAGGATGCTGTGAAGTGTCGTGTGGTAGACCGCCAAGAAGAAGGCAATGGGGACTCAGGGGGCTCCTTCCAGAATGGCCACGCCCAGCTCATGGTAGGACTGATTGCCTGGGGATGCAAGCTGTCCCACCAGGGACCTCTGGGTTCTTCCTGTACCCAGAGTTCTGCTGGGCTCTGGTAGCCCTATCAGATGAACTCTGAACCCAGTTTGTAATTGGGGAAACTAAGGCCAAGTTGAAATCCTTTACCCAGGGTTTTGAGCTGGGTAAAGCTGTTGGTGAGTTGGGTGGGGGCTGGTGTGCATCCTTGCCTTCTTCAAACCATGCCCATCCAGAACTGTGCACAAGCCAACTGTGAGTTTGCCCATACAGACTACTTCAACTATGGGATCTAGGCCCAGTAGCCTCTGAGCAGAGCCCTGGGCTCTGTGGCCAATTTTCGACCCCGTTGGCATCACCCATTATGTTATCCCAGGTGTCCAGGGGTAAGGCACTGGGGAGCATTCCAGGTGGTATCTACACAGGGCCAACCCTCTAGGCCTCAGTGCCACCATCTAGAGGGACCAAGTGTCAGCTGGACAGGTACTTTGTCATTTGGGGACACAGCTTTCCCTCTTCTTGATGTTTCTCCTGGCCCAACCTCTGACCTCAGGGGAAGACTGCCACCTTCCCAGTATCCTGGCTCCTGCATTTCAGGGAAAGACCTCCAGTTTGAGATTAAAGGCCAGACTGACCCCCTTGGAGCCCTGTGGCCTCTGGATGGGTCTTCTAGACCCAAGCTCCTAAGGTGGTCCTGGTTCACCACCATGGCCTCCCCAGCTGCTGACCTCAGAGATGCAGTGGGGACCATGTCTCTGCTTTAGGGGAGGCTGGTGCTGGCCCAGGTCTGTGTCTGTCCCCTGCTGTCTGTCTTGGATGGAATGGCAGAAATTCTGGAAGCCCTGGTGGCTGCATGGCTTTGGGGGGCATGGCCAGAGGGCAGAGGCCGGCTGCTCCGAGATGCCTTGAAGGGAGAGCACGCATGGTTGATCGCACGTACACACAGGCAGACACAAACACATGCATGGATCCTTCACATAAATGCAGAGATGTAAAGGCTGGCTCATGTGTGAATCATAAACACAGTGCTCCTCTCAACATACATGTTCATGCTCACACAGTATGGTCCTCTGTCCTCACAAAGGCACATATACCATGAACACACAGAAACACAGCTCACACATGCATGTGAATGCTGCTAGACACACCCATGGCATACAGATGCATGGCCACACCAGGTGGTCCATGGACTAACAATGTGGGCTGGGGTTCTTGATGACAATATCTGTATATTCGTGACCTCTGAGGTGTGGGTGTGGCTTTGGTGGCCCCCTTCCTACCACCCTGCAGGTTGCAATCCAACCTGCTACCAGCCCTGCCCTCATCCTGCCCTCGGTCTCTGTCTTGCAGACGGACTTTGAGAAGGATGTGGATCTGGCCTGTAGATCAGGTGAGCACCTGACAGGTGAGAGCCATGGTGGCCAGTCGGCCCATCTGCTTCTTTCTTTACTCCCACATCTGTGTGCCCTACCTGTCCCCATCCCACACCCACTGCCACATGGCCCAGCCGGGGCTCCCTCCTCCCCAAGGCTTCAGGAGTCCTGTGGGTGTGAGCCCAAGAAAGCTGTCATGGAGCCCATGCTGGGCTGGGACCATCACTGGTACCCTTTCATCTGTCTGTCTCTCCCTTTCCCCTCATAGGGCAGAGCAGATAGGCCAGTTCTGTGTGAGGCCCAGCCCCTGCTCCTGCCTCTGCCTACACACTCCATTGTCACATGCCTCCTACCTGCCCTGCCTCAAGTACCCATGTTCTGTGTTGTCTTTGTGTCTTCATTGTTAAGCTGGGGTGGGGGAAGGCAGGTTGCCTTCTGAGAATGTGATACCTCAGTAGCGAGAGGAAAGCAAGGGGAAGGACCTGCTGCTGGGACCCTTGGCTAACACTGAGCTTCCTAGAAGCAAAGTCATGTTCCCAGTGTCAGGTTATAGCACCTGAGGATCAGGGGCCAGGGCAATAGCAGATGGTCTCTGGCTATGGATGGGGCCATCTGGCCTTACTCCATCTGGTTCCCAAGTGGGAATGTCAGCTGCTGCCTGGGTGGGATTCTTGGAGGAGGTGACCTCGAAATGGTGCCAAAAAAAATTCTTCCTTGGTCTTCAGTGATCCAGTTCCATAGCCTGCCTATCCAAGAGATGGCTCTGGCCCTGGGGCGGGGAGGTGCCAGCCCACCCTGGTGTACTCTGGGCTCCCTTTGCCCAGCTGTGCCTGAGCACAAGGTGCTGTGGGCTGAATGTATCTGATGGGCACATGATAGGTGTCTATGGGTAGGTGTCCATGGTGGGACAGAATCCCTGCTGATAGAGGAATGAGCTGTGTGCAGGCCAAGGAAGTCCTTGAGATGACGTTGAGATGCCCTTGGAGATGGGCATACAGGTTGATAGGAATGATGGCTATCTCTGGGGTGTTGGGGGAGGGCTTCAGGAGGACAATGCTGGGTATATTAGTTACTGTTCTATTGCTGTGAAGAGACACCATGGCCAAGGCAGCTCTTATGAAAGAAAGCTATTGGGGGCTCGCTTACAGTTTCAGAGATTTAGTCCATTGTCATCATGGTGGGGAGCATGGTGACATGCAAGCAGGCACTGGCAAGGTAGCTAAGAGCTACATCATGATTCACAGGCAGACACACTGTGGGCATGGGGTGGGCTTTTGAAGCCTTAAAGCCCACCCCCAGTGACACAGTGACATGCTTCCCCTAACAAGGCCACACCTCCTAATCGTATTCAAATAGTACCACTCCCTGATGACTAAGCATTCAAAAATAAGCCTGGGGGCTGGGGGTCATTCTTAATCAGACTGCCACACTGGATGATAGTCTGAAAGAGCCAAAGGTTGTCATTGAAGGTGAGCTGGGGGTGAGGGACCTTTGGCCTGGGAAACTAGGATATTGTTCATGAGCATAGTTGATGAGATCCCTAGAGCTGCTGGTGGGCCCCAATCCTGGGCTAGGTGTGACCAGAACAGGCAGTATGCAGACCTGGGCCAGGTTTCCTAAGAAGGGGATGTGACCTTGCTCTGGAGAGTGTTCCCAGGAGGAGCTAATCTGGTACTCTACTGGCCAGGGGGGCTAAGTTGATGGCCTAGTGACAGATGGGATGCATGTTGAGCTGGAGCCCAGGCCAGATGATGGACAGCTTGGGATAGCCAACCCAAGAGAGGTAGATGGGAGGGAACTTCGGGAAGGGCAGAGGGGCAAGCAAGGCAGGAGAGCCCTTCCGAGGAGTTGAGCTTATGTGCCAGGTCTTGTGGTCCTTAGGGCTGATGTGCCTGTGCCAAGCACAATCTCCCTGCAAGGACTCATGTGTAGCAGGAGTACTGGAGGGGAGCTAAGGTCTCACTAGAAGAAGCTGTTCTGCCCACCTTGTTCCTGTGCCTTCTATTTGCCTTTCAGAATTGCCATGATAGGCTGACAATGAGCGACAATCTTTGGTTGTCTTGGGAGGCAGGCAGAGACCTGAGTGGGCCAGCCTCCTGGGAAAAGGCAAAGGAACTTTGGTTGTCCAAGTGCCAGCTTGGGTCTGGGGTGGGTGTCAGGTCTGGTGTGGGTAGAGACCAGGGTGGCAGCAGTGTTGGCCAGGCTGAGCCCCTGCTGCTGTAGACCGGCCTCACTATTCTGACCCCCTCTTCCTATATGTTGTCCTTTCCCATGTCCCATTAGTGCTGAACAAAGACATCACAGCCTGTCGCACAGCTACCATCACAGGCACCTTCAAGCGACCATCACTGCCTGAAGAGGAAAAGCTCAAGCTGGCCAAGGGCCCACCTCCCACCTTCAACAGTCTGCCAGCTAATGTGTCCAAGCTGCACCTGCACGGTTCGCCCCGCTACCCCGGTGGGCCACTGCCCGACTTCCCCAACCACTCTCTCACCCTCAAAAAGGACAAGGCTCCCAAGTCCTCCTTTATTGGAGATGGGGACATCTTCAAGAAACTGGACTCAGAGCTGAGCCGGGCCCAGGAGAAGGCTCTGGACACGAGCTATGTGATCCTGCCCCCAGCCACAGCCACACTGCGGCCCAAACCCAAGGAGGAGCCCAAGCACAGCATCAACATTGACCAGATGCCCCAGACGCGCCTCATCCACCTGAGCGTGGCGCTCGATGCCAGCTTCCCCACCCGTAACCCACCTGCCCGTGAGCCCCCAGGTGGTGGGCCCCCTGAGGCTCCCCCTGCCCAGCCCCCACCCCCTCCACCCCAGCAGCCCCTACCCCCACCACCCACCCTGGAGCCTGCACCCCCAAGCCTGGGGGACACAGGGGAGCCTGCAGCCCACCCAGGACCCAGTCCAGGTGCTGGGACCAAGAATGAGAACGTGGCCACCCTTTCAGTGAGCTCCCTGGAGGTGAGGGTGGTTCAGAGTCTGCAGAGCAGAGATGGGTGGACCCCCAGCCAAGGGCTAGTACTTCCATGCCTTCTAGGCTCGGGGTGTGTCAGAAGTGGGTAGGGCTGGGGCTGAGACAGAATCTGTATGTACTTAAGCCCATTTCACATAGCAATAGTCTTTGTGGCCAGCCTGGTGCTTGTCCTGCCCTTGAGTCTTGTTCAGGCCTTAGGACATGGGACTGAGGATGGGACTCTTGGGGAGCCCTTGCCCTACTCAAGGATGTGACACCATTTGGCTTTCAATCTCTTAGGTACAGCCAGCACCCTGAGTTCACTGTTAGGATTCCAACCGTGTGGCCCCTACATCAGATCTCCTTGATCTGTGTGGCCTGGCTGAGCTGGACACTTCAGAGGGAGAACAAGGGCAAATAGGCCTTGAGCAGTTAGGGGAGACCTCACTGCACACAAAGTATTTGGGGTAGCCTTGCAGTAAGGGCCCTGAGACCCCACCCACATTTTATCATTGTCAGGAGTTTCCCTTTGGTCTCAGCACACCCTCTAGACCCAGAGCTGGGCCTGTATCCCTAGGGAACAGGCAACCTGGGTACCTGATACACTCTTAGAATGTCCCCTGAAGGCAGGTTGGTGTCTCTCCAGCTGTCAGGCGGGAGGGCCTGGATATGTGGTCTAGGCCGTTTTAGGGAACACTTTGCCCATGCACACAACCCTCTCTCCTGCAGCGGCGGAAATCACGGTATGCAGAACTGGACTTTGAGGTAAGTGCAGGTGCCTCTCTCTGGACAAACAGGCTGGGTCTTTTCAGCAAGTGGGAGCTGGGGAAGGGCTCAGAGTTGGAGTCCAGGGGCCAGCAGCAGGTGGGACAAAGGGGTGGCTGTGGATGCCCATCCTGGCTCAGGACTCATGGCCGCAACCCACAGAAGATCATGCACACGCGGAAACGACACCAGGACATGTTCCAGGACCTGAACCGGAAGCTGCAGCATGCTGCTGAGAAGGAGAAGGAAGTGCCAGGCGTAGACAGCAAGGTCAGAAGGGTGGGCTCTGCTCCAGCCATACGGGCGCTTGCCTATTTCCTTCACACCCCCAATCACTAGATTCTTGGCTGGCCTTTCCCTGTGCTGTCTGTCCCCCTCGGATGTGCAAAGGGCAGGGCAGGAGGAGCCTGAGCCTGGCCCTGTCTGGCAGGTTCCACACTATTCGCTCCCACAGTACTGACCCTGACCCCATCATGAGAGCTGCAGCTACTACAAAGACTGGGGCTGTGGGCTGCATGAGTTGCTCCTCTCTGGGAATCCCTCCCTAAGAGCCCTCTTCTCTCTTCTCCTTTCTCTCCCGTGGAATCACTCCCATTCACCCCTGCCTTGCCTACACCACTGGCATCGAGTAGCCAGAGAAACAGCAGACTCCCAACAAGAGGGCATGGGAGAGCCTCCGCAAGCCCCATGGGACTCCCGCCTGGGTGAAAAAGGAGCTGGAGCCACTGCCCCCTTCTCCACTGGAGCTTCGGAGTGTGGAGTGGGAGAAGGCAGGTGCCACCATCCCACTGGTTGGCCAGGACATCATTGATCTCCAGACCGAGGTCTGAGCGGGCGGGCTGTGGCCCCACACCGGGCCATCAGGTGGGAAGCTGCTCTGCCCGCTCCACCATAGGACGGGCACAGATGCGCTCGCAGTGGCGGGCCGGGTTCAGCCCCGGCCTCAGGGCGCTCAGAGGCGGCCAGGCAGAGGGCCCGCGGTGCTGGGACCAGAGCCAGAAACAGGACAGGAGGTGTCATGGCCCGCGGGCACAGGGCTCCAGAGGCCAGATGGTGCCTCAGACTCTGCCCTCCTTGGGCAAGCCCGGACAGGCAGGCAGGCGGCTGTGGACACGGACAGGCCTGGTGTGGCCAGCATCCCCAGGATGCCCACCTCAGCCGCCACTGCAGAAGACTGCCTGTGGCCCGCCAGCCTGGCTCCGTTTTTTAGACACCCCTACCCCTTGGGAAGCAGCCAGACCCCCACCCCACTCCCTTCCAGGACCCTGGGCCCCTCTCAGACCCAGGCAGAGAGCATGGTCCTGACCCAGAGACCCAGGGGCAGGACTGAGGCCACTCTGGAAAGAAGCGGGGTGGGGAATCTATTTTTTCTCTCCTTTTCTTTTCTTCAATAAAAAGATTTAAAAACCCAGCGCTTTATTATCTATTCTTTCTCTGTAGCAGCCTGGCCCCATTCAGTGGCAATTGGGCTGCTCCTGCCCTGCATGCCTGCCCTCTCTCTACATGGTACTCAGAGTCTAGACTTACCTCAATTCTCTACCTCAGGAGCACCTGGTCCCAGAGTCACCTGTGAATGACAAAGTTAACAGGTAGCAATTTAAGAAAACAACTGGAAATGGTGAAAGGAAGCAAAAAGTGTACCTGGAGTCTAGGGTTCTTACCAGCAGCCTCCCTGAGCCCATCTTGGACAGGCCTGCCCCACTGGTCTGTACAGCCCATTACTGACTGACTCCCTTTTTTCCATCACTAAGTACCTCCTGTCCCCAGGCCATGGTGATTCTATCCATCCACAGAGTGAAATGTGAGAGTGGAAATATGAGCATATTCAGATCACCAGAGCCACCTTCCCTGATCCCATCCCAGCTTAAGCATTCTTGCATTTCCCAGAGCTTCCAGCAGGTGGCAGCCTAAGCCATTCCAGGAGTCTGGCTGGGAAACCAGGAGGCCCCTCCTTCCCCAACCCTGGGAGGGCACAAACTTGAACCTCTGCAGACAGAACTCTTCAGGCCTCTTCTTCAGACTGCAACTTGAGCTGGAACCCAGATACAGACCATTGGCCCTGATGGGTATATGGACCCCCTAGCACCCCAAAATGCCAAGAGCTGGAAAAGGAGTACAACCCAGTACGGGTTGCTTTCATACCCTCACCTGAATATTTTCCCTTCCTTCCTATGAATCTCACTGTGGGCATGTCTTTGACACACACCCTACACAAGCCTTTTTAGCAGGCAGAGACAGGATAGGGGTGGGCACTTTTGGTACAGTAACCACAGTGAGCTCAGGTAATACTCTGGATGCAAACATGGGTGGGTGAATAACAAGTGAGAAGTGACATGTCCTCAGATGCCCAGAGAAGGGCATGTAGAGCCTGGCACAGACCCTAGAGGCAGACCACAAACAAAACAAAAACTACCAATGTTTTGGCAACAAAATAGATGCAGCCTTGACCATGTGGTGGCTAATATGAACTGTGTGCACCTGTGCAAATGTTCTGCAATGGAAGGTTTCTGAGCCTTATCACAGCACCCCCTGCAGGTTATATGGAAGATCTATCACACTACACTGCACAGTCTGTACACTTGCCCTGTCTTCCAGACCTGGGGGGCTTCCTATGAATTGAGTGGCCATGGTCTCCTCCTTGCCTCTGACTATTAAGAATAAAAGAATCTTGGAGGACCTATGGGTACATGTAGAGAAGGCCCTGGGATTCCAGCACCCTGCCTGTGCAGGAAGCATGTGCATATGAGCCAAGTCTGGGTCTGGAGGGCTGAGCTCTGCTCTGACTTACCACTGTCCTCATGGAGCAAGCGACCAAGCATCTTTAGGCAGCTCCCTAACCGCACCACCCAGCACCACCACCACCAAAACACAAATCAACAAGGGGTACCCCAGCCCCTCACACTCTCTGCATGAAGGGAGAGACTCAGAACAGTGGAGATTGCTGGAGTCAAGGCTCTGTGAAGTTGTAGGGTGTGTCCAGCTCTCTCCTCTGTAGGCTCTCCCCCTGGAGGGCTATTTGTGCTAAGAGATGCCCAGGACTCATGGCTGCCCAGGATTCTACCGCCTCCTCCTGGAATGAGTCATCAAAGAAATTGCTGTCTATTCCAGCCTTGGCATAGGAAGCACGGGCTCTGTTCCTTCAGTACCCTCGGCTTTGCAGCAGGCCCCCCTCCAACAGGCTCCATGTACATTCCAGGAGGTCCTGTACCGAGAGTTGCCTTGGCCCAGAACTCTCTTGGAGACGGGGGCCTTTCCATGGACCTCTTTCAGGTCCTTTTGCTCTTCCTCCAGCTCTTTGGAGTGCTATGCTCCTACACCTGACAAGCAGGGTCAGATCTCATCTACACTGAGGAGCAAGACTCAGTGATTAGAGGGTGCTGCTGGTACCCTACAGGTCAGGAGGGGCTCTGCCTAGGCACCAGTGGCTCCTCCAATGGTTGTCTTTCCTGAGGGCACTGACACCTTCCTTAGTTGTTGCTACCACCACAAGGTACTCCTTTCCTGTAGAATCCAAAACTGGATGGGCCCCTAGGGATATCTTCCTGGGCCCTTCTTTCGAGAGTTGGCTGATTTAGCCTCTAAACGCCTGTGCCGCCCATTTTAGCAGCATGTCACCAGTGAACCCAAGACACTGGGAGCAACAGCGACTTGGCTCTTTGGGTGAACCATCAGCTACCTTATAACTTCATGGGCATTCAGGAGCTGGCTCTGCCACCCTCCACCTGCCATCAGGGAAGGGAAGATGTGGGACTTGGGGTGACAGTGGTCACCATGATGGCTGGCACACGGTGCGGGCAAAGGTAGTGGTGAAAGCTTAGTTTATAGACTGGGGATTTTGCTGGTGATGAGCGTGGTGATGGCGATGGAGATGATGAGGATGATTATGATAGTGATGATGATGGTGACAGTAAGGCTAACAATAATAGCAATGGTGATGTCATGATGGTCGTGGCAATGATGTTAGTGAGGCGATAGTTGTAGTTATGGTGAAGATGGTGATGGTATTGATCAGGATAGTGCTAGAAATGATGGTGGCGAGGCTGGTGATGACGGTGATGATGCTGGAGATGGGAATAGAAAGATGGTGATAATGATTATGATACTGGAGTTGATAGTAATGGTGGTGATGATGATGATGATGGCAAAGTTAAAACGGTAGTAGTGAAACATCGACCAACAGTCATGATGGTTTCAGTAAATGATAAGGGTAGTGGCAGTGCTGGAGGTGGTCGTGGTGACGGTCATGGTTGTGGCTGTGGTTGAAGACAGTAGCTACTGTGATCTCTGTGGATGACAATTGTGCTGATGAGATTAGGACCTGGGATCTCACAGTTCACTGTTCCTGGCTCCTACAGACTGGAGAATGCGAAGGAGGGGTGTGTGAAAGGAAGGACACATGAGGACAGCAAGTCTCTGCGTCAACTGGGGGTGCAGCCAGTAGGAGCAGCTGCCAGCAGGTACTGAGTTCTTATCAACACCCACATTCCTCCAATCCGGAGGATGCCCCTCCTTACCTGGTTCCGTCTGCCCATCCTGTGACTAATGCGAACACTGCTGAAAGGGGCCGGAGAGGTGTTCTAACCCCTTCTCATGATGCCTTGCCTCTACAATGACCTCTCTTCCACTTTCTGGGCCCAGTTTGGAGAAGAGACTTCTCATCTAACCTGCCTGCCTTGTCCTCCGTCGTATGAGCACTCCTGTTGCCCTGGAAAGCTCTATCCTTCAGTGTTTTGTGCCTCCCACCCATTCTCCTCCCCAGGCCCTGCTTCCCAAGGGCTAGCCCCAGATGGGAGCAAATGTACAAGATGATACTGGCTCTAGTCTTATGTTAGATAGAATTTCCCTTCTTTATCCTACCCTCAGCTCCCTGTTATGACCTTTGGAAGTGTGGGGCTGTGCAGGAGGTGAGGGCTGAAGAGATGCCAGCTCCTCGTGGATCCCTGAATGCCCATGAGGTTATGAGGCAGTTGATTATGAGCCCAGTAATTTTCACTCCCACACCTTGGATTTCTTCATGGTCAGAGGTGGCCAACAGTACTCGCAGATAGATGTGAAGTCCTGTGGTCTTGGTTTGCTCTGCCCTCAGATTCTTGCTAGTGCCTTTATCATAAGGAACCAACAGCTCGAGGAGGACTCTAGGACCCTGGAGACATCCCAGACCTGGCCTTGGAGCACCTTCCCATTAAGGGTATGAGCTAGGTCTGTGTAAATTGACTGTGCTAAGGGTAGGCTCTGCTGCCTCACCGGGAAATGGGGTCAAGACTGCTCTTCACAATGCCTCATATGTCCCCTCTGGGTCTAAGGTTCCCTACTGGGGCCATTAGTCCTTAGGGACTCTCAGGGTCCCAGATTTTTAACTCAAAGCTTCTCGAGTAGTCGAGAAATTTCGGGCTCCCCTTTGTCAGTCCCTAAAAATAACCAAGCAGGAGGAACTCTGAGCAGCTAACAAATGTGCCAGCCAGCACCCCACGCAGTGGAAGCACCTCCAAATAAGGCCTAGGCAAAGAGGAAGACAGCACCCAAGCGCATCACCATTGACGTGGATTCTTGAACCTTCCCTCCCTGTACCTCAGAGTCTCCCCCAGAGCCAGTGTGACTCAGGGGCCTGGGAGTCTTGCTTGTTTAGTGTGCCCAGAGCTTACTAGACAATTCACTACAGCAGTCTGCTCTTGGGTCCTGGAACTTCTATAGTCAATTTGGAAACCTTAGAAGCTGTGAACTTAGAGGTATGGAATCTTAGTACTATCAGTCACCCCTTCCCAATCTCAGTGGACATGGTGTGAACTCACTCAAGTACAGGACCCAGGGGCTTCCCCTCCCCACTCTCTAG